ACCGTTTTCGCCACAAACTTCCAACCGCGCTCAGAATAGCGCTCCGGCGAAATCAGCGAGCCTTTCGTTGAGCTCGCAAAGGTGCGTACGCCTTGCTGGGTTTGTTTGTGGCTTGAGCATCGCCGCATGAAACCGAACGCTGACTTGGCAGCGAAATGGAGTCGCGATGTCCTGATGCCAGGGGTCGTTCTCAACATCCGACAACCAACCAAGGAACAAACTCGAAAACAAATTCCCACAATCCACGCAGCAGTTATTTTTGCGACACGAACCTTCAGTCCGTAATGTAATCAATCTTTAAAACACGCCCCTAACACCTGGAACTGAAATGCGACTCCAAACCCTCGCTACATTTCACTGAGTATAAAGGGAGCAAACCAAACCAGAGAAACTCACTCAACATCTCACCCGCCAACCACCACTCTGGTGCTACACCAGAGAAACTCACTCTCGCTTGAAAGCGCCAAAATTTAACACAGGGTAACTAAGTGAACAATGGCTCGCCAAAATATGCCACTCAAACCTATCCCGCAAAACATCAAAACGGTAACCTTCGTGCCCGTGCAAAAGGCCCACATGCCCGTGACGATGCCGTGCGAAACCCCTGCGCGTTTTTGTCTACCGGCACCCTGAAAAGTTGTGTTCCTCTGTCAGGCTCAAGGTGTATCTGAAATGGATGGTCTGATCATGCTTCTCAGGACGATGACATCGATGACATCAAGTTTCTGGCCGTGAGATAATTTCCCGTTCCATGGCGAAATCCTACGCGTTGAGACGACACATCAAGGGTCTTATGATGACAGCAGCGTACGCGATAAGAGAGAATCGTCGAGCACGCCTCTATTCAATCCGGCTGAACTTGATAGTATGGTCTGATGCTCCCACGGGACAGTGGTCTGTTTTGAAGCCTCATAATTCGGCAGTGGAGACGAGTCTCACGGCTACATCCAAGCATTGTCTTAACAGCAGCTTCCGTACTCACAGAGAGTCGTTAGACTTCAGTTGCCGAGACAGAGGGTATTGCTGGCGTTTCTGTTTCCAGCAGACGGATTCTTAATCCGCGACTGACTCTGACTACAAGATTCGGATTCGGTAGTGTTTGAATAGCAACAGATCCGAGTCCTTCACCAGAACAGACTTTTACTAAAAACCGTGGCTGGCTCTACCTGAAGAGCAACAGATTGTGCTGCTTAGCCGTGACTGGATTTACTTGACTAGCAGCGGTTCTGGATTCAAATCAGGGACTGGTTCTGATTGATAACTGGCACATCCGATAACTCCTGAAACGGCGAAGATGGCTTTCGAGGTTATGTTTAGAATTCCACCTGATCTGCCCAATCGTGAATCTTGCAACAGTACACGTGGCGAGACCTCAGAATCCATCAAGCATGGCGCCGACTGCTTCACTGACAACTGCTCCGTAGTCAAGCCGTCTGGATCACACGTGGACGTCTCGCTTACTGTTGCTCCTGAGGAACCACTCCGATCTGTCTTCAACAGACTGTTTCAGTCGCATCTGCCGGACTGCTGCCTGCCATGCAAGGCACGTCACCAGCAGAAAGGACAGGATGGCTCGAAAGTGGCGGGGCAAGACGTTGCAAATCTCAAACAGCAAGTTCGTTTCATGGCTCTTGGGCAGCAAGGATGCCTTTCTCCTGACCTCACCGTCGAGAAATCCAGGCTTGTATCGGGTACAACCATTAAAGTGGTTCCCTTGAACGACGTGCATGGACGACGGAATAAGGGCAAGGAGAAAGTTGAAGAGTGCGGAGATGCTCCTACTGCTGCATCTGCTCCCACTCCTGCATCTGCTTCCACTACTGCATCTGCTCCTACTGCTGCATCTGCTCCTCCTGCTGCATCTGCTCCTACTGCTGCATCTTCTTCAGTTGCGCCTCGTTCTTCTGCTTCTCGTCCTCCCTCTACTCCCACTGCAACGCTTGCTGCGCTTACCAGCAAGTTGGTCCTTATCGAGCCCATCCGCAATAACGAAGAGGGGTACAAGCAGAAGAAAGAGCCCAGACAGGGAGTGACGGAGCAGAGCAGGGAAGGGAGTCCCTACAGGGAGTGATGGAGCAGGGCAGAAGCAGGGAGTCCCGACAGGAAGCTTCGGAGCAGTGCAGAAGGGCCAGGCATCTGCGGCTGTCAGCAGCGTGGAAGAGGAAGATAATCTTGCAAAAAGAGCAATGTTGTTACAGGCCATTCAGGAGTTGGAAGAACAGCTGGTGGATCACCGAAAGGTAATGCAGGGCCTGCATCAGGAGCTGGGTGGACCAGGGCACTCCACTGGGCCAAATGGAGGGGCAACTGAGAAAAAGGAAGCCGAGGTCAATTCTGAGGTGCTTCGGTTCCTGTTGGAGAGTGAGCAGTCCATTGCGGTGATTGAAGATCCATTGAAGAATCTTGAGAAGCTGAAGTAGACACTTGAGAAAGAGGTGTGTGGATCAGAAAAACCATTTTTGCAATCGGAAGATGGACCGGAGAAACCGGCAGCTGGGGAAAGCTCGAAGGCACTTCAGCTGCTCTCTTGGGAGGAGATGGTGCATTATCTGGACGTGACAAGGGGCTGGGATCGGGATCTGTGCGAGTGCTGCTTCGACCGCGCACTGGGCTGCCAAGCACGGGGCGTGCTTGAGATGAAAAACCTGGAGGACTTATGTCGCCACCTGCGCAAGGCGCAGCCTGATTCCTTCAGAGCAGCTGCTGCCTCAGAGCAGGAGAACCAGACCCTTTTTGAGTACTCTAAAGGGGTACCGGTGCGGGCGCTCCAAGGGAGGCATGGAATGTCGCCTCATGAGCTGTCTGCTTGGAAGGCTGAGAGGGTGCCTCGCCTTTGTGTGGAAGCGATGTTTATTGAGTGGATGGCTGAGCCTCGTGTGGCCGTGCCCATGGACTTGGGGAAGGTCATGTCCCGCCTGCCGGCCATTTTTGCTACCACAGATGCTGCTGCACATGCCTCTTCGGCCCCTGCTGCTGCTACATCTTCCTCTCTTGCTACTGCAGCGTGGTCCTGCTGCTGGCGCTGCAGCAGCTGCTGGGCTGCCTACCGCCGCGCTGTCAGCTTCTCGACCTTCCTTGCACTTGCAGCATCATATCCCCGCCTTGTGACTCTGTGGAAAGCACACTTGAACGCGTATTCGTCCGCCTTGCCTGCGATTGTGACTGGGCTGGGGGCGGTCAGGCAGGCGGGGATTGTCAATTTCGCCTCCATGCTGGTGCAAATTCTCGGAGTGAAGGAGACTGCTGCAATGAAGGAGGGGTTTGGGTTCTGTCTGCAAGAACTGCTGTCAGGCGGAATTGAAAAGGCCCATGTGGAGGGGAAGGGGAGATTGGAGGGTGTGGGAGAAGGGGATGCAGGCCAGATGGGGAGTGAGGGGGGCACTGGGTTTGCTAGCAGCAGCAAAGGAGATGGGAAGGATGGGAAGGATGGGAAGGAAGGGAAGGGTGGGAAGTGGAGGGAGCATTTGAAGGGGCCTGTGTGGGAGAGGTATGTGGATGGCATGGCTTGGATTCTGGAGCATGGAGGGGGGGAAGGGAGGGAGTTCAGGTGCAGCCACGGCAGTGAGGGCAGCAGCAGCAGCAGCAGTAGCAGCGACAGCAGCTACAGCAACATTTGGGGTTATGGCGGAAGCAGCAGCCTCATCAGTGCTTCCAAGGGTATGCATGTGAGTGGTGTGGGTGCAACCGAATTCACGCTCGCTGTTGCTACAGTGCTTTCTAAGCCAGAGCACTGAATTGACGCCCAGACATGTATCCATGATGGGGACAACGCGAGCAAGATGCAGGTTGAGGATGCAGCGACTAGGGTGGCCAGGAAGATTTTATATAGGCTGAAACAGACAAGGGAGAAGGATGGAAGGGGAGACGGAGGAGGAGCAGAAACAGGAGCAGGAGGTGGAGGAGCAGGAGGAGGAGTGGGTGGAGGAATGGCTACCTACCCTGGGATTGTGCCTGTCAACAGCAATCCTGTGGTTGCTGCCTTCACCTATCAGGCCAGTTGTATTCTGCAGGGGGTTCGAGTCTATGGGTCAGATTCCATTTCGGGAAAACACTGTTTCAAGGACGGCCCACAGAGCACGGTCCTACCCATGTGCCACCCGTTCCGGGATCTTCCGAGCCTGTTGATCAGGCTCGGCGCCATCCCCAAGCCTCTGGGCCCGGGCAGCTTTCCTGTGGAGTGGGAGGAATGGCCGCAGGGGGATGACGCTGCTGTGAGGTTTCCCTTCAACCAGAGACTGAGATGCTTTGGCCTGGGGATTGTGGAGGAGCGTGGGGCAGCAGAGGCGCGGGGGCAGGCACCATCTGAGCAGGCACCATCCGAGCTGGCAGAGAAGGCACCATCTGAGCCGGCATGGCGTGCAGGGGGAGTCTCTAGGAGGGCGAGGGAGAGTAAGAAAGTTGACAAGGGAGTTGTTGTGGGATATGGGAGGGTCGTAGGGAGTGGGAGAGACGAACCAAGTAGAGAAGAGGCACCCGTGCGTGCATTTCCACCCGCCAGAAGGAAATTCCCCATCGTTCGCTGCAAGGCAGACGTGGACTTTTTGGTGGGGTTTGCTGGGTTTGTGATGGAGCCGCCGGCATGCACCCCGTGCAAGAGGTGTTACCACTGGTATGTGCAATATGCCGACATGGTTTCACTCGTCGCCAACTTTGCCCACCGTCCTGTCAGCTTCCTTTTCAACCGTGTTGTGGCTGTCTTCCCGCCGTCCTCCCCTCATTTCCACAAGCTCGTTGGCTGCCTGGAGTTCCACGCACCCTTGCCCCGGCCTGTGAATCTGCATATGCTGCTCATGCGAGCCGAGCAGCTGCCCCTCTTCTTCCTCATTCACGCTGCAGTCTGGTGGGCTCGTCCAATTTTGGGGTTTGATGAGACGGGGCGTAGCAATGGGAAAGGGAGAATAGGCGGCAGGGTGAATAGTGAAGGGTATTGGGATGGTGGGGTGGATCAGGGGAGTGGTGGGGAGGTGTTGGAGGAGGTGTGTATGTGGTGCTCCGCCGAGGTGGCTGTGTGGAGGTCCAACTTTGGGGCAGAGGAGATGAGTGAGGTTTGCAGAGGCAGCAGGAAGCGGGGGGGAAAGGCTGAGGATCTGGACATCAGATGGATTCTTGATGGCGCTGCAATCCCCAGGTTCTGTGAAGGGCTGAGGATCTGGACATCAGATGGGTTCTTGATGGCGCTGCAATCCCCAGCGTGGGCCCGCCAGCAGCAGCAGTGCTACCACCAGTGGCAGCAGCAGCGGCAGCAGCAGCAAGTGTGGTGGTGGTGATAGCAATGGCAACAGCAGCAGTGGGGAAAAGGCAAAAGTGCCACCTTTTTTTAAGCCATGGCTGGGGGGAGTGAATCTGGTGGCTTGTCTTCGAGAGATGCTGCTGGGGCAACCACGCTACTGCCATCCCTCCCGTGCTGCCTCTTCCACCCCTGCTCCAGCAACCACCCCTGCTGCACCTGGCGCTGCTGAAGCAGTAAACACATGTGCCACAGCGAGCACTGCAGCAGCCACCCCTGCTGCTGCAAGCACTTCTGCTGCACCAAGCGCTGCTGGTGCACCAACCACATCTGCTGCAGTGAGCATCCCTGCTGTTGATTCTCCAGATATGGAAGGGCTTGTGTGCGGTGCTGAGGGGTGTGGGAGGGTGGTGGTGTGAAGCTGAAGAGCTGCGCTGGGTGTGGCAAGGTGGCGTATTGCAGCAGAGACTGCCAAAAAGCACACTGGCCCTCCCACAAGCTCGCATGCCCAGGCAGGACCAGTCAAAAGAGTGGGAAAGATGGTGGCACAGATGGTGGTACAGACGGTGGTACAGATGGTGAGAGGGATACTGGCGAGGATAGGTTCGATCGAAGTGAAGAATGAGAGGGCGAAGGTGAGGCTGAAGGAGATGATGGTGGGAGTGGGAAGGACGAGGACCAGATGGATATAGCAGCAGATTTTCCAGAGTGTGATGTGTTGCATGATGAGCGTGTGGTGATCCCAGGGTACTACAACTTTGAATCCAACACTTCAACCTTGATTGCCATGTGGTGTTATTTTTCCTTGTACGACTCTGACATGCTGCTTCTCTCCCCCTCCCATTGTGTGCCACTTGTTGAGTTTCATAGGGCGTATTCCTACGGAACAGATATCAGGAACTGCCTAACTCGAGTGCGGTCCGGTGTCGGTCTTGCGGCTCAGTTGGCCTGGGGGAATGGGATGAGGGAGTGAACAAAGAATGGAAGGTAGGGTGCACACTACCGTAATCACCCGGATAGATGCCCCTCCGTAGGATTAGTCCCATGGGCTCTAACTCGTGCATTTGGACTTATAAGCATTATTCGATTATACGCCCCTCCTCTCTGCTCCGGATCAAATCCCTATACGCCCCCCCCCTCTTTTCAAACAGCATTTTAAGGAACTAGCCAAGATAGGCAAAATGCACTAGAAACATAATTTTTTAGACAGTTAGAAGATGAGAAATTTTTTTGCAATAAAAATTTTACTGATTGTGATTCGACTAGAAGAGGAGTTTGCTGTACAGGAGACAAACTCCTTCACCTATCGGCAGGTCTTTCAGACTTGCCACCTAGTCTCATTTGTATTTTTCTGTTCCAACTTGTATACCACCAGCACACTCTAAACCTCTATGCCCAGATCTGGGCATAGGAGTCTCTTGCTGCGAGACGTCCTTTCCGTCAGATATTCTACAATGGTTAGCAGACTTATTTCCGCTGCAAGTGGTAGGCCTCCCGCTCCTCGCGTGAATACTAGGAGTGGTGGAAGGCATGGGTCCAGGGCCTCAGAAGTCAGGCCAAAAAGGCCTGAAAGCCTGTATATCAGGGTGTTTTCTAGGGCATACCCTGATTTTTCAGGTTTTGATTTTTGTCAAACCTGAAATTTATGTGTTCCCATTTTCTAAGGTCTGAAAAATAGTATGTTCTTGTTTTACCCAGCCTGACGAATCAGCCTTACTCAAAATTCGCCCTGAATCTGAATCTTATCTGCCAAAGCGAGCTTGAGCACGTGTGAGGGGCATGACTGGTCCTTGACCAGAATCACGCAAGTTCGAGGCGAAGTGGGGCAGGTGTGAGGGGCGTGATTGGTCCTTGACAAAAAATGACGCAAGTTCGAGGCGAGCTAGAGCAGGTGTGAGGGGCGTGATTGGTCCTTGACCACAATCACGGAACTTCAAGGTGAGCTAGAACAGGTGTGGGGGGCGTGATTGGTCCTTGACCAGAATCACGCAAGTTCGAGGCGAGCTGGAGGAGGTGTGAGGGGGTTGATTGGTCCTTAGTTAAAATCATGCCGGAATCTGACGAGAAGAATTGTACGCAGTGAAGTCCGATCCGACCTAAGAATCAGAAACTACAAAAATGTAGGCCTGATAAGTCAGACTAAAAAAAACAATTGGCTTGAAAAAACATGCCACGCCCAAAACCCGACCCTGAAAAACTGTTAAAATTATATATGTTATAATTTAATATAGGCTTGGTAGGTTGTTACTGAACCTTTCTGTAGAGGGTACAAACCCCTCCTTGTACTCCTCTCTCTTCCTAATCGTCCCTCTTCTTTCTCGACATTCTCCTACCCGCTCCTAGATCTACTTTCCTCACGCCATTCCATGGCGGCATTCCTAGTATCCTAGCTAAGCTAGTGTCTTAACTTTAGGGACCTAGTCTCCTAAGTTAGTAAGATGGTATCAGAGCAGGTGACCGTTTACGGGCCTGCTCTCTACGCTTCCGCCGTGTACTTAGTCATCGTTCATTCCTGCCGTGCCGCCGTGGCGGCCATGCCCGTTCCTGCCGTGCCGTCGCGTCGTGACGCATGGCGTCGATGCCACACTGCTGCGACGCCGCCGTGCATACCGTCGCAGCGGCGACGGACCGCTGCATCGACGCCGCGATGTGTCGGCATCGTAATGCTGCCGTGGCAGCGTCGTCGGACGGCAGCTTGCCGCGCGACATTCGAGGCGCCGCCTCACCTGCTGCCCGCACGCCAGCCTCAAGCGTGAGGCTGGACCACGCCCCGCCCCCCTTCCCTTGTGTCCTGTATCTTGCCGCAGCCGACGGCTGACTCCTGCCGGCCGTCCCACCGTCGCGGGGCCTGGCCACGTCACCGAGAGGTGCGGGTGCCGCCGCCGCCGCTGCTGTTGTCGAAGCCGTCGCCGCCGCCGCTGTCGCCGCTTGCATCGGGGCCACGCAGCCGCACGCCGCCGCCGCCGCCGCTGCTGCCGTTGCCTCCGCAGCCCCTGCGGTCAACGTCGCTGCCTCACGCGCCGTGGGGTCGACCGACCTAGTGTCGCTGTCACTGTGGCTGGAATGGGGGTGCTAGGTTAGGGGGTGTGTGGTGTGTTGGGTGGGTGTGTGACTACCAAGCCTAGGGGGTGTGTTAAAATTATATAAGTTATAATTTAATATAGGCTTGGTAGGTTGTTACTGAACCTTTCTGTAGAGGGTACAAACCCCTCCTTGTACTCCTCTCTCTTCCTAATCGTCCCTCTTCTTTCTCGACATTCTCCTACCCGCTCCTAGATCTACTTTCCTCACGCCATTCCATGGCGGCATTCCTAGTATCCTAGCTAAGCTAGTGTCCTAACTTTAGGGACCTAGTCTCCTAAGTTTCTGAGAAAAACATGGGCTCTCACATGGGCGACCCTGAGCAATCAGCCTCCCTAAAACCAATCTGAGGGCCTGCATGGGTCCCCTGTACGTGAGGGGGACCGAAACTCTTCATCTCAGCATAGAGAACGGTCTCGTTCTCCTCGTCCTGGCTCAGGTAACGGCGCCGTTACCGCTTTGGATTTGCTGAGTGGCGCGCGTCAAGACCCTGTTCAGCACATCGAAAATGCGGCGGGGGACACGGATCGTAACACGTCATGCAATGACGATTTCCCCCCCGGATTTCAAGGCGAGCGGCGTAACGAGCAGAACCGCGTCGACACGAACCCGACTGTCGAAAACGCCCCGTCCCGGCCCTCACCTACCGAATGCAATCATGACTGTCCTGCGCGCGAGGACCACAATCATGATCGTGATCCTGCGCGCGCAGGGCGTCATCATGAGCGCGATCTCAACGCCCCAGCGCCCCAGATTCGTCAGGATCGAGACCGGGATCGCGCAGATCGCCGCACGGATTTTCCTCCTGCCGCAGTGTATCCGCGCGGAAATCCGCAGATCTCGACCCCTGGAGCAGCAGAAATCGTCGAAATGATTCCGCGCCTGGATCCTGCAGCCCAGCGCAATCTCCAGCGAATCTTCACATGAGCTGCTGGCGAACGCGTTACAGCGCGCTCCACTGCATCTACAGCGCCTCATTCTGCAGAACATAATTCTGCTCGCTACACCAACAACAATGTTAACGCCGGCACCAACAACGAGGCCATTCACCACGTCTTGGTCTTCTCGCGGCGCTCCAGCGTGGCAATGGCGCCGATCCTGCACCGCCACCGGAACCAGCACGCGTCGCAGCGACGGTGGCCCCACGCTCTCGCCTCCCGGCGCCCGCCCCCGAGCCCGTTGACGATGAAATGGATGAGGAAGCACCCCATGCTACGCTCGACGAAGGTAATGCCGCCCGCCCGAAATCCGCTTCTGCATCGCTCACCCTTGCTCCTATTCCACCTGCACGTCCTCAGTTGCGCTCTTCCTTAGTTAAAAGCGATGGAATTCGTACGCAACTTTTTAGTTTTGAGCGCATTCAGGCTATTGCACGTCATGCTATCTCGGTTTTACCACCTGATGGTGGTGAACAAGCCGCCGACTATCTCCAGCAGATAGTAGAGGAGGCGGAAGGAAATATTTATTTCTGTTTACCGCCGATCAACGCGGTTTCGAAGTTGCCAATATGGCCCTTAAGATGAAGTATGGGGAAGTGGTAGAGGATAAGAATGTGAAGGCTGCTTCTCAGATTATAGCGGCCAGCAAGAAGAGGCCCACTCGGCCCACCCATTCCACCTCCCATCCTGAACCCCCTCTTCGCCCTCGCGGCCAAGGGGAGCGCCTTTGGAACACATGGCGTAGGGACGGCGACGGCCGTTGTTTCTATTGTCGTGAACCCGGGCATGGGATGGCTAATTGCCCCCAAAGGGGCCAAGGGGCTAATCGGCCAGCTAAGATTGTGTAAAGTTTGCTTAACCTCTCCGATGTTGTAGCGTTCTTGAATAAAATAAAATAAAATAAAAACCACATTTGTGCATTCAAGCAAGATTAATACGCGCGTTATACGACCACATGGTCTTGCCCGTTGGGCCCGTGCAAGAAGACGTGAACGTGCCCACAAGACGCATACACAATGTGTGTGCGTCCTTTAAAGATTGACGTTGATAAGATTCATGACAAGATTTCTACAGTATGTCATCACCATAAATGACAACCAACTACAACCCAACATGCCAAGTTCACATGCCCAACCCATGGTTTATCACTTAAGGGATGACATGGCCGAAGAATAGCGAGTAAGCGAGCACCTATACTTAGTGTTTGCCTTCCTTCCTGCAAAAAAAAAAAAAAAAAAAAAAAAAAAAAAAAAAAAAAACCCGTTGCGGTCGGAACTACATGAGGTACCTTCCTGATTCTCTACCGTCCCTATTTGTGTTCCCTCTCCCACCAGAGCTCGGAACCATTTCGGCCTATGCCGATGACGCAACCAAGATTACCCGCATGCAAGGCCGCCTCCGTGACCGCGCTGCATGGTGGTCCGCCTGGTGCGACAGCCGCTTGATTCTATCGGTGATTACATCTGGATATCGGCTACCATGGGTTGCCTCTGAGCCCCCTCCGTCTCGTACTAAGAACCATGCCGGTGCTTTGCAATTCACATCTTTCGCAGTAGATGCAGTGGCCGAGCTTCTCGCCACCGGCGCAGCTCGAGTCGTTCCTCCTTCTACAACCCTCACATGCGTTAGCCCCTTAAACGTGATTGTCCAAGCCTAAAAAAAGAGGCTGATATTGGACTTGCGGCATGTCAACTCATTCCTCTCGGTACCTCGTTTTCGATACGAAGGACTTACTCGCGTTCCTGATTTTGTGCAAGAAGGCGATTAGCTATTCACGATCGATCTCAAATCTGGATACCACCACATCGACATTCACCCCGCTTTTTGGCGGTTTCTCGGATTCTCCCTGCAAGGGCAGGACTACCAATTCCTCTCTTTGCCTTTCGGGCTGGCTACAGCGCCATTTGTGTTTACCCAGTTAATTAAGCAACTCTCTAAACGCTGGCGTCGCCACGACATCCGCCTTATTCCATACATCAATGATATCCTATTCATCAGTGCCACTGGAGCGGAGGCTCTTCACAACCGCTCCATAATCATCGCCGACCTCGCAGCCGCGCGCTTTGTTGTGAATTTCAAAAAATCACAACTCGCGCCATCACAATCTTTGAAGTTCTTGGGCCTCTTGCTAGACACGCGCACCACCACATTCTCTGTCGATGCGGATCGGCGCAACCAGCTTTTTGCCAAGCTGGATGAATTAGGCACACTCGGCGCTAACGGGCGTCGCATCCCTGTTCGCCGCGCTGCCCACATCACCGGCATGTTGGCCTCCATGTCCTTGGCACTTGGCACCCTCGCGCGCGCTTTCTCCCACCACCTTCTCACGCAGATCGCCGAATGCCACTCATGGGGGGCGGCCATTCTCCTAACCCCTGAGTTTGTTGAAGAGCTGCGTTTTTTGCTTACACAGTTCGACGTTTTCAACGGCGCCCGCTTCCACAACCCGCATTTGTACGACGTGGTCATGTACATGGATGCTAGCGACCATGCCTGGGGGGCTTGTTATTCAGCGCCGGATGGTCGTGTCGGCTCACTCTCCTCCCCGCTACCTCTAGCCCTCTTGGGCTCGTCCACTACCCTTCGCGAGCTGGCCGGAATCTTTTGGTCCCTTTCGGCCTTTTCTGTCGAAATCCGACGTTCGCACATCTTGCTCCGCAGCGACAATCAGGCGGCCTACTACATCCTCCAGAAGGGAGGCTCTCGCCGTCCCGAGCTTACCTTCGTATGCCGCGCGATTATTCAATTGTGTGTGCGCCATATGATCCGTCTTATGGTCCAATGGATTCCCCGTGCGCTGAATACCGAGGCCGATGCTCTGTCCAAGATTGAGCTCCACGACGACTAATCCTTGACACAACCTTGGTTCCGGCTGCTTGAGAGGCATTGGGGGCCTCATACTATCGACTTGTTCGCATCCCCTGCCAATGCGCAGCTCGCTCGTTTCTGCTCCCTCAAGTTCTCACACTCTGCGGTTGCGCAAGACGCCTTCTCTATTAACTTGGGACACGAGAATTGCTTCGCCTTTCCTCCACCCGCCCTCATCCCGACTGTCCTAGCTCATGCCTGTCGCTCGCGCACTTCTCTCATTCTCGTGATCCCATATTGGCCAAGTGCCTTTTGGTGGCCTTTGCTAAGCTTGGACGGCTTCACTTGGGGCCCGGAGGTCGTTATGGCCCTTCGCCTTACCCTTGGTGCTAGTTGTTTACGCGTTGGCAGTGACCGTCATGCCTTTAGCGGTGCTGGTCTTCCGAACTCTCCGATGTATGCGCTTCGTTTTGCATTCAACTAATGTATAAATTTATTTCACTGCGCAGGCTCATATATTGGTCGATTATTGTCGGACCTTCTCACACTCACCGTTGATCTTCGGGCAAAGTCTACCCTTCGCACTTATGAACCCTATTGGCGACAGTTTCGAGCCTTCTGTTTGGCGCACTCACTTCCCTTCCTTCCCGCCATCGACCTGACAGCGGCCCTCTTTCTGCTGCACTCGGTCGGTCGCGGCGCTACCGTCTCAGCTGTGCGCACTGCGTGTTCCGCCATATCCTGCGCCCATTGGCTGGTCGGCCACCCCTCCCCGATTCGCGGCCCCTTTTCTTCACAAGTCAAGGATTATGCCATGCGTCATTGTGGCAAGCCATCTCAAGCTAAGGAGCCCATTCCTCCAGCCAAGATTTACGATATCAGTGACATCTACTTCTCATCGCATGATCCGGCCACATCCCTACGAGGCCTTACTCCCCTCCTCATGTTTGCAGCCTTCCTTCATTTCTCTGATCTCGTCTCCCTCCAGTGGCACCAGAACGAGTTCGATCGAGACTGCATGTGGTTGTTCATCCCCCGCTCGAAGACCGACCAAGCTGGTACCGGTGTTTGGGTCCCAGTGGCTGCTTCTTCTGCCCGCCACTATGCGGTGTTGCGTGTCCAACAATTCCTCTTCCTGGCTGGCTATTCTCCGCGGACCCTTGGCCCCCTTATTTGAATATTTCAGCCGGTGGCCCGAGCTTCCCCCTCAGATCGCTCTCCCTCGTACGCCGCCATTCGGGGTTGGTGTCGAGATGCTTTCTCCCGTGTCGGCCTCAACCCGGCCCTCCTGGGCACCCATTCTTTCCGCAAGGCGGCTGCGACGGTCGCCGTTGATGTTGGAGTCCCCGGCCGGCTTTTCAAGGCCCTCGGCCGCTGGCGAAGTGATACAGCCAAGGAGCTTTACATTACTCAGCTTGACCGCGAGCTAGTGGCTGCTTCTCGCACGCTACAAGATCCTACTCGCTCGAGCGCGACCGATCGGTACCAGGCCACCCTCGAGCGCCACCGCGAACGACCTCCCACTTGATGTCTCGTTTGACCTATGACGACTGCACTACACACTCCTCTGAGGTCATGTCACAATATGAGAAATTTTATTTGTAATAAAAAATTTACAGATTGTGATTCGACTAGAAGAGGAGTTTGTTGTAAAGGAGACAAACTCCTCCATCTATCGGCAGGTCTTTCAGACCTGCCACCTAGTCTCATTTGCATTTTTCTGTTCCAACTTGCCCACCCTTCCCTCCCATGCTTTGATAACTAGCATGGCCTGCTCACTGTTGTTCCCTTGCCATGTATTTGCCCTATCTAGTGTGCTGTATTATGGAGCTATGATAGGCTATGACGACTGCACTGCACACTCCTCTGAGGTCGTGTCACAATTCATCCTATTCAAACCTAAACCTGGGATATGCAACACTTTCAGGCTAGCATTGCTTACCGCACATTACACCTAGTACTACTCCTAGTCTACTCCTACTCCTCCTCCCCTTCCTCCTCATCCTCCTCATCCTCCTCCTCCTCCTCATCCTCTGCAGCCCCACCCTCAGCGCCTACCGAGTTGTCGCCAAAGAAGCCATCCGCCCAGACCTCGTCATCAACATCCACCTCTGCCTCTCGCTTGTTGCGCATGTGCTGGAGGGTCAGATAGTCGTCACTGTCGTCGAGCGAGTTGCTGATGCCACACGTCTTGAAAGCTCTCTGAATGAGGGCGGCAGGGATGGCCCTCCACGCCTTGGAGACCCACTTCAGGATCTCCTCCGGTGGAGGCTTCTTGAGGTTTCCTGCGCCAGCAAACATGAGTAACCACTCAGTTAGAACCATGTTTACAGAAAACAAACTGTTAAAAACAAGCAAGAAGATACTCACCCTTAGCGGTCTTGGAATATATCCCCACGGAGTCAAACCACTCCTGGTAGTATTGCCTCACCCGAGCCTTGAAAGCTCGGTTGACGCATACGTCCAGGGGCTGCACGACGGAAGTGCAGCCCGCGGGGATGACTCCGAGGACGACAGCAAGCTTCCCGTAGCATTCCTTCACTTCAGGCGTCAGGTGACCACGGTAGGAGTCAAGAATCAGTAGGGCAGAGCGCGCACGCAAACCAAATCTTGGGCGGATGAAGGCCTCGACGGCGTTTTCTAGCCAGGTCTTCACACCGTCCGCATCCATCTAGCCGTTGGGCTGTGCCGCAACGACGACATCTGCATAAAGACAGAGTATAAGCTTGGTTAACGCGATTGAAAAAACAAGGAAAACACACAAAAGCCGCGAAACCAAAACATACCAGCGGGGAAATCTCCTTGAGGGACGGTCTTCCTCTTGAAGTAAACCCACGGCTTCAGCTTCTCCCCCCCTGCCGTGCATGCAAGCATAACAGTAACTCGCTCCTTCTGGTAGCCGGCGGAGCGGATAGAGACGGATTTGACGCCGACCTGCTCGACGGTGCGTCAGCCGGCATCTCCAACCACAGTGGAGTTTGGTCGGCGTTGATTATCCAGCACTCTTCAATGCCATACATCCTCCGCACCTCCCTGCAGAATCGCCTGAATTTTTCGACCTCTGCCGAGCAACCTGTGGGAGGGCAGTATGGGAATTCGAAAAGGACACGACTTAGTACAACATTCGTATGGAGCGACAGTGTAAACTCGAATAAGAGAGTACGTACATAAGCGGAAAGAAGAGACAGAAACGGATGCAATGACGGTGCACTTACTATCGGTCATTTTCTGACCGACTTTCGTCTTGGCGCGAACCGACAGATTCCACCTTGATCGGAATCGTTCGGTCCAGCGGTAGGAGCCCTGCCATTTGACGTCGGGGTGAAGAACCTTCATTAACTCCCGCGACCACTTCTGCAGCCTTGACACGGGGACCGGAGCTCCCACAGCGCGCGCGGCGAGAAGCTTCGAATACACCTGCGTCTCCATATCGGCATACCAAAAAGACCTCCCCTGCCCATGCAGCCTCTTACGGCAGCCGTGGGCAGCTCTTAGCTCCTCCTTCTTTACCGCTTTCAGTCGGTACAGCCAAAATAGCTTCTCCTTCGCCGTGTACGACTTTCGCTTCCTCCCGTTCATCCGATTCCTGGGGGATGGGGGGCAGGCATCTCGATTCACAGAAGAAGGATGTGGCGGTTTTCTGCCCTCGGGAAACGACGGCACAGGGAGCTTCTCGGGAAGACCATCCCGAGACCAGTACTCGGCTCCATCATCAGCATCCGCGTCCTGCTCGGGCCACTCATCGCCGTGCGGAATCCCCCAATCACGAGCAGCAGGTGGCGCAGCGTCTCAAAGAAGCTTAGGACACTAGCTAGGTAGCTAGGATGAAGGAATGTAGGTAAGCAGTGGCTAGGAAGCTAAGAAGGCCGCCATGAATGTGGCGGCGGGGTTTAGCTAGGAGGTAGGCGAGAGTGTCGAGAGAATAAGTTTTGGACTAGGAAGAGAGAGGCATACAAGGAGGGGTTTGTACCCTCTACAGCAAGGTTCAGTTACCTACCAAGCCTATATTAAATTATAACTTATATAATTTTAACAACAACATCGTAGATGGTAACCGAAGCGGCAATCGAGTCGCCTGTGCGACTCGATAACCGCTCTTGCAACTGTATTCTACAACTGCTTTCTTATTTCCTATATATTGCTGTATGTTTGCTTCTTTAACCAATCACTTGTTCTCATATACTAGTACAAGGGTTCAACTGCCTCAACTTCCGCTGCACTACTCAAAGTCTCATTTTACAACTGGGACTTAGTGTCAAACATGTGTATTTGTCATGTTTGTATAGACTGTATAGAGTCACCTCTTAGAGGATACAAAACTTAGATATATTTGTGTGTACTCTCACTTTACCATTATTCAATTATTCTGATATGGTATGACGCGCAGGTAGGATCCCCCCCCCCCACCTACCGCTTCCGCTCATGCCCCCTAGCGCCCCTCATGGGCCCCGTCGCGCTCCTCCCAGGCCCCGTCGCGCTCCTCCCAGGCCCCCTAGCGCCCCTCCTGGGCCCCATCGCGCTCCTCCCAGGCCCCGTAGCGCCCCTCCTGGGCTTCGTAGCGCCCCTGCCAGGCCCCGTCGCGCCCCTCCTGGGCTTCGTAGCGCCCCTGCCAGGCCCCGTCGCGCCCCTCCCAGGCCCCGTCGCGCTCCTCCCAGGCCCACTAGCGCCCCTCCTGGGCCCCGTCGCGCTCCTCCCAGGTCCCGTAGCGCCCCGTCGCGCCCCTCCTGGGCCCCATAGCGCCCCTCCTGGGCCTCGTCGCGCCCCTCCTGGGCTTCGTAGCGGCCCTCCTGGGCCCTGTACCGCCCTCCCAGGCCCCGTCGCGCCCCTCCCAGGCCCCGTCGCGCCCCTCCCAGTCCCTCTAGCGCCCCTCCTGGGCCCTGTCGCGCTCCTCCCAGGCCCCGTAGCGCCCCGTCGCGCCCCTCCTGGGCCCCGTAGCGCCCCTCCTGGGCCTCGTCGCGCCCCTCCTGGGCTTCGTAGCGCCCCTCCTGGGCCCTGTAACGCCCTCCCAGGCCCCGTCGCGCCCCTCCCAGGCCCCGTCGCGCTCCTCCCAGGCCCCCTAGCGCCCCTCCTGGGCCCCGTCGCGCTCCTCCCAGGCCTCGTAGCGCCCCTCCTGGGCTCTTTCGCGCCCCTCCTGGGCCCCGTAGCGCCCCTCCTGGGCCCCGTCGCGCCCTCCTTGGGCCCTGTAGCGCCCCTCCTGGGCCCCGTCGCGCCCCTCCCAGGCCCCGTCGCGCCCCTCCCAGGCCCCGTAGCGCCCCTCCTGGGCCTCGTCGCGCCCCTCCTGGGCTTCGTAGCGCCTCTCCTGGGCCCCCCCCGTCGTGCCCCTCCTGGGCCCCGTAGCGCCCCTCCTCGGCCGCGTCGTACCCGTCGCCGCCGCCCGGCCCCGTCGTGCCCGCCCGGCGCCGTCGCGCCCGCCCGACCCCGTCGCCGCCGCCCGGC